AAAAAAAAAAAAAAAAGGATGTACGTGAATGTAATTCTATTGGGTTTTAAAAACTGCAAAGCCATCATGGGGAGGGTGAAAAAGAAAATGAATGAACAAGAGAAATCGGGATCTACTGTCAGTCAGGGTATTCCCCACGCAACTTCAACCCAAATGGAAAAACCGCCACTGAAAAGCAGACGCCCCACAGCACATGACTCGCAGTCAGCAACTGGCTTTAACAACGCCAGACAATTCCGACAGAAGGGTCTGAATCTAACAGGCTGAAACGAGGACAAAAAAGCTACTGCGCAGATAAACCAGCAGGAAAAGAATAAAAATAAATACAACCGTTGTTGATATTCATTAGCTTTCTAAATGTCACAAATCTTTGGGTAAAATTTAAGACAGGGAATAATAGCATGAATAATACTACAAGTTATTTGTTTATAGGCTTTGCTCTTATACTACCAATTTTCCTTTTTAGAAAGTTATTGTGTAGTGAGACCCTGTACCAAATACACATTAAAAAAAAAATTAAAAAAATAAAAAGTTAACCTGAACTTTGTCTTCAGTTCTGCCGTGGAGGGAAAAAAATAATGCTTTACGGAAAAGCACCTCACAGTTAACTCCTCTGTTCTGACTCCTACCTCCTACGACCTCACCAGGAAAATCTGTAAGGATTTATTACTTTTATTAAGGTAGTTTAAAGTCCTAATGAGAGTCTGCATCATGTTTTCTCCCTTCAAACATCACCTGAGAAATGAGAGATTACTTTTCAAAAACTAAAAGAGACAAAACTCTGTGATCTAAGAAGCTACCTTTCATAAAGATTAACACGACCGCATCTACAGGTGGGCTCAGCACTGACTAGAGCTTTGTCTACAAGAGAAATACAACAGGTGTGGATTTTCCATTCTGTTGACCAAACGTAGAGGCAAAAGCATCTGTTCATAAATGCTCCCCCAAAGGAATTATTTGGTGTTTGGGGGTTCTGGCAGGGGTGGTGGGTTTTGTTTGTTTGTTTTTAAGCTGCCCAGCATAACTGTAATGTCACCTTGTTTGCCCAGTCAAAGGTGAGAGGCATGTCAGGAGAGGGGCCAGAAGTGACAAAGGTGCAAAAAAGAACGTGAAACACTAAGAAAATACGGCTCTAAAATTATAGAAGAACAAGCCAATCCTGACCTGGGTGGTGTGTGGGACACCGGTGTGGCACACCGAGATCAGAGCTCTTCCAAGTGTACGCTGGGGTCTCAAAATGAGAGGAGGGGTCGGGGCAGGATGGCAAATCCCAACCTTTTGCACATCCCTGTCGACTAGTTTTTAAAAACGAACCAAAAAAAAAAAAAAAAAAAACACTACCAAAAATTAAAACAATTAGTTAGTTAGGTACAGCTCTACTTACTGTATCTACAAAGTCCTCTAGGAAATGACTAGGGTACTATTTTGGATGGGAATGGCCGTTACCTAAACAAAGCTTTTAAGGTAACAGTAAACAAGATCCTCGTATCCATGTCAATAAACCAAGCGCTTCTGCCTCCTGTACTGAACGTTGAAACAAAGTCAAAAGCTAGGTTATACTAAATAACAGCGACGAAAACATGTTAACAATCAATGGGGGGAGGGGGGACTACACACTTAATAGAGGGGTCCAACCCACCAGCCACCACACAAACCAAACTCTAGTTCTCCCACCCAGGTTGGGTGAAGAGGTGGGTAAGAAATCCCCAAATTTGCCTTGGGGTGATTTTCTTCTTTAATTTTAATAGCTTTTTGAAACATCAAACCAAGAAATCAAGGAGAGAAAAAAAAAAAAAATTCAGACATCTCTTATCACCCTACAAAGGATTATTCCTGAAATTATCTAAAAGTACAGAAAAGCTGGGCTGCAAGCATTGACATGTCCAGGACAATTAATAAGGCAACTAAGTGTATATGGTTTTTCCTGAGGGGGGGAGAGGGCAGAGAAAGAGGGAGAATTTGTAAAATGAACCTGAGAGCACCAATGGTTACCACGATTCTCTCTTCTCTTCCATTCAACGTTAAAGCCAGAAAAACTTGGAAGATCACTTTATCCAATCTATCTCACAGAACAGGGAACGAAGGGCCAGAGCCAGGAATCACTTGCCCAAATTCCCAGTAGGCAGCTGGACCTAGCACCCCACCCCTGCCTCGCCCCAAGAGCCCACCCGGGAGGAGAGTCCTGGCCTGTGAAGCACAGCACCCTATGTCATCCCTAGGCCCAAGCTTTAGGCCACTAAGTAAAAATTCTGGGGAACACAAGGGAGACACAGAGGGAATCCAGGAGGAGAGGCAGGAAGCCAGCTTAGGGGCTAAACAAAACACTGCAGGTTCCCTAGCCTCCCCTAACGTTAAATTTATTATTATAGCCTGACACTCTTTCTGCCTTTCCCCTGACCTCAACCTATTGAGGTCTCCCTTCCAGGACTGTGAACCTGAAAAACTTCGGAAGCCGTAAAGTATCCACACGCATATGAAAGGATCTACACAGCAAAGAAAGAAAGAAAAAAAAAAAAAACACTTTGAAACCCAAGGCCTTATCAGCCTGCAATTTCAGGCCATCTGGAGTTCCGCCAATGGATGCCCAGCTTGGCTCTGCCGGCGTCTCCTTCCCTTCCAGCCACATTCCAAATCCCCAATGCCCCAAGAGAAACCTGTTGCCCGGACCTAGGAGGAGCGCCCCCTGCCCTCCTTCCGACGGGCTCCTCTCAGCCAGGAAGAGGCAGTGCCTTCCACAGGCCGATTCCCACAGCTACAGTTGGTGCTCGGCTCCCAAAGTTCCACTGGCTCTCGGGTGGAGTTTCTCTGACCGGCCCTCGGCCGGGACAGCCTCTCCGGGAGCCGGACCCCCTCCCCCAGCCTCAGCCTGGCAGCCGGGGGAGCTGCAGGGGGGCAGACTGTACAAAGAAAACCCCCAACGCAGCCCGGCAACGAACTTGTGAGCCATCACGCTAGCTCTGTTTAAAAGTACCCTGGTCTATCTAGCACAAAGGCAAAAGAAGGCGCTGTCCCTTTAAATGGGGCTGTCAATGACCATACCGGTCCTGAAAAGGGGCTAAGGACAACAACAACAGCAGCAACAACAACAACAACACAACAACAATAAAAAGCAACCTACCGTCTTGGAATCTAACTCATGGTGGGGCTGACCTAGTACTTTATCTACACTTGCTGGATCTGCGAACGTGACGAAACCGAAGCCTCTGAAAGGAGACAAAGAGGGAGAAAAACAAACAAGAAAATGTGACACCATTGAAAGCAACAAGGAGACCTCCTGCAGAATGGGGAGCCAAAGTGGCCCCCCACGCCCCCAGGCCCGGCCTTCCCCAAAGCCCCTCCTTCCCACAGCCTTCCACCTTGCCAGGAAAAATATCAAGGTTATGGGGAAGTGGCTGGGGACAGGGCGACTGAAGCGAACTTGGGGAAACGCTGAAACCCCCCACTCTGGTCGCCTCAGTTTCTCTCTTCTTCCCTTTCTTAATGCTTTGTCTTCTTTCAAAGAAAGCCAAGCAGTTAGATCCACCCACCTTTCCGAGAGGACTTGAGAGTTTGGAAAGCTTAGAGTACGAGAAAGGCACACATTAAAAAAAGAAAAAAAAAAAAAAAAAAAAAAAAAAAAAGGAGCGACAGGAGAATGACTTCAAGAGAAGACATGGCCATGTCTGCACCCAGAGTTTAGCCCTAATTAACAATAACCTTTCAGGTTGGGGGGGTTCCAGACCGGCCTCTCGCCTGAGCCCCATTCTAAATCCGCTTAGCTACTTCCAGAAGACACCTCCAAAAATAAGACTTAAACTTTGTTCTAAAATAAGATAAAATCCAGAAGAAGATGGTTTACCTGGAGCGTTTCGTAGTGGGATCTCTCATGACCATACATTCTCTAATTTCTCCAAATTTGCTAAAGTAGTCTCTAAGGCTATCTGTAGAGAGAGAAAGAGAGAGATGGGGCGGAGGGGGGTGTGGAGAAAAAAAAAAGCAATGCAAATTGTGATCAAGGACAAAAACCAAAAGTAGTTTTCGGTTGTTATTCTGTTCTGTTTTTGCATTTTCTGCACACGCGGGGAAAATTTGGCAACAGAGGTCGCGTAGAGGGCTCGGAAAGGATTTGCTATTTAAAAAAATAACCTTGCACAGGAGAAGTGAGGAAGCCAGTAGGGGGGGGGGCTCCTACACCGGGATAACAAAGAGCAATAAAGAAGCCGAGAAGGGGGGGACGGCTGGGTCCCCCCCTCCCTCCCTTACCTGGTGAGGTCTGCCAGCTCAGTCCACCGATAAACATTTTACTAGAGGAAGAAAACATAACAGAAGTGAGCACCGATGTCAGATCGGCCATTTTGACGTGTAACTTACAAAAGCTACACGGAGAGCCGGGGGGAGCGGGCGGGCGCCGGGCGGGGGCGCGGGGGCGCGGGGCCGCCGAACGCCACCCCGAGGTGTGCAACTTCCCCGGGGGAGGCGCGGGAGGGCGCGGCTGTTCCACCCAAACCGCAAATACCTGCTGGGCCCTGGGCTGGGTTCCTCCCCACTCCGGCGCCGACCAGCGGCGGGACAGCTTGCGTGCCAGGCGGGCGATAGCCGACGGCCGCAGGCCGTAATCGCGCTCCAGCTCCTGGCGCGAGATCTCGATGTTGCCGGTGTACCAGAGGATCCAGCCGAGCAGGCTCAGAAAGACCAGCAGCGCGCCCGAGTAGATGAGCAGGTCGCCGAAGTCGCGGCCGTGCACCTGCAGCTGCGCGAACACGCCGGTCAGCAGCGCCGCCATGCCCGCCACGTCCAGCGCCACAGCGAGCAGCAGGGCCGCGCGGCAGCGACCCAGGCCCGCCGCGGCGGGGGACGCAGGCGGCACGGA